CATTTCAAATTATATTACAAGCTGGGCATGGTGGTGCATGCCTATAAGCACTCGGGAGGCTGAGGCAGGAGGACTGTTGTGAGATCCAGACCAGCCTGGGCTACAAAGTGAGCTCAAGGCCAGCCTGAAACGCATAATGACACCCTGTCTCAAAAAGGCAAAAAAAAAAAAAAAAAAAGAGAATGAAACTAGATCCTTACCTTATACCATATGTAAAAAGCAACTCAGCATGAATTGAAGACAGAAACAAAATCTGAGACTTTAAAACTCCTAGAAGAAAATACAGGAAAAAAAGCTTCTTGCTGTTTGTCTCGGTAATGATTTTTTTTTTTTTGGATATGACACCAAAAGCACAGGCAACAAAAGCAAAAATAAACAAATGCAATTACATCAGACTAAAAAGCTTCTACAGAGAAGAGGAAACAAAAAATGAAAAGGCATCCTAAAGAATGGGAAAAACGTTTATAAACCATTCGTTTGAAAAGGGGTTAATATCCAAAATACATAATGAATTCATTCAACTACATAAGAAGAAATAACCCAATTAAAAATGGGAAACAGACCTGAGTAGACATTCTTCCAAAATATTTAAGGCAGCCAACATGTAGTACATGAAAGAGTGATCTCTGCTCATGGACATAAAACACAAAATCACAATAAGATAGCATTTATACCTGTCAGGATGTCTATTACTAAAAAAATAAAAACAAAAACAAACAAACAAAAAAACCCAAAAAAACTAAGACAACGCTCAGGATGCTGAGGCAGGAGGCTCACCTGAGTCCAGGAGTTCAAGGCTGTCCTGGGCAACACAGGGAGATACTATTTCAAATTAAAAAGACAATCAAACAAGATAATGTTGGTGAGGATGTGGAGGAAGGGAGCCTGTGTGTCCTACTCTTGGGAATATAACTTGATGTAGTCACTATGAAAAAAAGAGTATGAGGTTCCTTAAAAAATTAAAAACAGAATTATTGTGTGCTCACTTTTTTTTTTTTTGGTCTTTTTGAGACAGGGTCTCACTATGCAGTTCAGGCTGACCTTGAGTTCACTTTGTAACCCAGGCTAGCCTCAAACTCCCAACGATCCTCTTGCCTCAGCCTCCTAAGTGCTGGGATTACAGGCATGCGCCACCATGCCCGGCATCTGCTCACTTTTGATTATACAGTACACCCAAAGGAAATGCACTCAGGACCTCCACGAGACCTCTGTACCCTGTGTGTGATGCAGTATTACTCAATGGCCAAGATATAAACATTTAAAAGGCTGGAGATGTGGCTCTGTGTAAAGACCCTGAATTCCATGGGAACTGTAAGTGAAATAAGCCAGACGCAGACTAAATACTGCATGATCCCACATGTGAGATCTAGAAGAGCCAAACTCCCCAAAGCAGAGTAGACGGGAACAGCCCCTCCTCCAGAAAGACATCCCTTAGAACTGCGCAGTGGGAGAGCCGATAGGTAATAGACTCCGGTTTGTTTGTCTGAAATGTCTTTACTTCACCCTTGCTCGTGAAAGACATGAGGAGAAAGGTGTACACAAACTGGAGTGCCAGTTATCTTCTCTTACATGAAGCCAGTGTGTTGCTGCTGTTACGGGGGACAGTCAGTGTGACGGTCCCCCACAGGTTGACAGCTGTGAGGATCTTCTCCACCTTTATTCTGCATCTCATGGTGATGTCTAGGTGTGCCTCCCTTGATTGATCCTGCTTACAACTAGGTGAACTTCTCAAATTAAGGTTTGGTTCTTTCATCAGTGTGAAAGATTTCCCAGCCTTTACCTCTTCAAATGTCACTTCTGTACCATTCACATGCCTGTATTTCCACAACACTGATTGGTGGTAGGATGAGTTCTTAAGTGTCTCCTCTGTACCTTTCTCTTTTCTTTTCTTCTTTTTTTGTCTTTTTGAGACACGGTCTCGCTATGCAGTTCTGGCTGGCCTTGAGCTCACTTTGTAGTCCTGGCTGGTCTCAAACTTGCAATGACCCTCCTGCCCCAGCCTTCTGAGTGCTGGGATTGCAGGTATGTGCCACCATGCCCGGCTACTCCGTATCTCTTATCTGCTCATGGCATCTATCTCTGTCTCTTGTACTTCATTCTACCAAATTTCTGCAGATCTATTGATTTGCTTATCTCTTCAACTATGTACAATCTGCTATTAAATTGGTCTAGTAAACTTATAATTGCAACTAACTATAATGCCTGTTTCTAGAAACATTATTTGATCTTTTTTCAGATCTCTGAACTCTTTATTCATAGGTTAATCCCTTCTGGGTTTTGTTTTTGTTTTGCTTCTCAGCGCTTGGGATCAAAGCTGGGGCTTGGCACACACTCTACCGCTGTGCTGTACTCCCAGACTCATATTAGTTCTTTACATATATTAAACTGACTTCTTGGGGCTAGGAATTTAGCTCAGCGGCACAGCGCCTGCCTGGCAAGTGCGAGGTTGTGAGTTCGATTCCCAGTACCGGGGGGCGGGGGGCGGCGGGGAACAACTGACTTCTTTTATATTGGCCTGCTAGTCCCCATTACTGAAACCTTCTGCAGGTCTGATGATGCAAGCCTATTGTTTCTGCTGGCTGTCACTGATAATGTTTGCCCTTCTTTTTGTAATTTTAAGATTTGAGCATGGACCTTGGGATACTATCTGTAAGAATTCTTTAAGGACCTAGCAAAAGTCAAAGAATCTTCCAGAAAGGATTTACATTTTTCTCTAAATGGGACCTGCATTAGTCAGGATTCTCCAGAGAAACAGAACCAAGAGGACGTGAGAATGGATGAATGGACGGATTGGCAGCCGGACAGAGATAAAGCGATTCATTATGAAGATTGGCTCACACAATCACAGGCCTGCAAATCCCAAGATCTGCAGTCAGGCAGCCAGCCAGCTGGAGACCTAGGGGAGCTGATACACAGTTCCAGGCTGAAAGGCAGAAGGCCTGGGACCCAACAAGAGCTGCTGCATTTGAATCTAAGGGTAGGAAAATACTGTGTCCCAGCACAAGTAACCAAGAAGGAAAGAGCTGCCTCTTACTCAGCGTTTCTGTTCTTCTCATGTGGCCAACTGACTGAGAGAGGCCCACCATACCAGGGAGTGCAATCTGCTTCTTTGAGTCCACTGACTCCATTGTTAACCTGCCCTGAAGTACCCTTGTAGATACCCAAGAACATTTGACCAAATGTCTGGACACCCATGGCCCGTAAGATTGACACACAAAATTAACCCTCACAAGGGCCTCCCAGGTGGTTTAACATAAAGCTTCAAGCCTCCATGAGAATCAGCCTATGCTTACTAATTTTCAGGAGATACCTCCCTCCCCCCCACCACTATGCTCAATTCCAGGTCAAAGCAAGTCACTTTCCTCAGAACCCACAGATTGGGGCCTGGGGTTTTTGCCTTACCCTTACACTGCTAGAAGCACCCTTGGGAGTTCCCTATTAGACTATCACTGGGTAGACCCTGGCTTTGGTTTCTGTTCCCTATGCCCTGTGAACCATGAAAACTAAAGGTCAAGTTTGAGGAAGAAGCTCAGTTCTCTGTTAACATCTGTCCTCCACTTCCACGTGGCTTTACTGCTCTGGATATAACGATGTTTTTCTAGCTCCAAGGAACATTTTTAAAATGTTTTCTGGGCCCCACCCAACACCTTTTTCAGTGAGGAGAGATGGCAGGAGTCTACTCCTCCACACCCCTTACTCCCAACCCATGGCCTGGAGGGAGCGGCACTTGTGATCTGATCCTGGTATGTTCTGAAAGCAGAGCCATCAGGATTCCCTAACATACTGGGTGTGGGTTATGAGAGATAAAAAGGAGCCAAGAATCCCCGGAAGGTTTTTAACTGCTTGAAAAATTAGAACACAGAGCTGTAATCAGCTGAGACTGGGAAGGCCCTGGGTAGTGCTGGTGGGGGAAGACTAGGAGTTTGGTCTGAACAGTCTACATTCATTAGTTGTCCACGTGGAGATGCTAAACAGACAGCTGGTCTGGGGCCTGGGAGGAAGGTCTGCTGAACACAAGTCTGGTAGAATTTGGTCACTGCTTCGTATCACTCAGATGTCAGACAGAGAGCACATGCCTCCACACACGCTCGGCACTGTGACACAGGCAGGAAACACGGCAGCACAACTACCAGGGTGATCATAACACTGTTTGCATTAGCAGTTACATAACATGTGGCCACCATCCCAATACACTCTGTCCTTGTCAGCTATTTGCTAGCGTTCTATGCCAGTTCTGTGGCTTAAGAGGAATGTGAAGAATGTGGGCCAAGCCTGGGAAAAAGCCAGCCATGTAGATGAATAAAGGAGGAAAATGAAATGCAGCAAAGGTTAACAGAAGGGAGAGGATCTGGTCAGGGATGATGAACAGCTGGCCCCAAAGCCTGCATTACAGAGGTCTGGATGCTCAGAAGTAACTTCTAGGCAAAGCAAAATAAAGGAAGTGAGTTTCCACTGTAGCACCAAAACTTAGATTAGAAATAAAATGGAAAATGAACACCTATTTGATACCTACTACTATTAGCTTTTAAGACTTGGAGGTAGAAATCTCTACTTTACAGATCAGAAAAGCAGGGTGCTAAAAGGTTAGCTAAGTACAAAAGCAGTCACTCAGATCTGGGCTTAGTGAGTGTAAAGTCTGTGTTCTTTAAGTACATCAAATTTCCTAATGGGAAATGGAGAAAGTAGGAATTTACTGTGAGGGATAACAAGATCTTTTCTTCCAGATCTTCTAAAAATTAAGATTCTTTAAGAGTCTCGTATAGTTTCATCAAATTGATCTACCTAAAAGCAGCCGGTGTTAGATCCTCTCCTGGCCCTAAGCAGCCATGACCGCCGAGCTCCTGAACATGCCAGTGTCAAGGAGCACACAAAATTTTTCAGGAAACTATTTTGCTCCTATTTTCCTATCCTGTGATAAAACACGTACTCACCTTTCTAAAACACATAACAAAATTTTGGACCAAATTTAAAGTTAAAGTAATTTAATACATAACTAGCAGTCAAACGCCATGGGCCTGAGGCCTTTTTTTTATTTGATTTTAGCACGAACAATAATGAAGATACCAAGTAAGATGACCTCGCAATGGGTTTGTAGGTTCTGGGCCATGCTCCCGTCTTCAAAGAAGGAGATTATCTTATCTGCATGGTAAGAAAGCCTGTGAGGCCCTGGAAGCAGAAAGTTGCATTCAGACAGTTTAACAACTACCCCAGCTGCTCTGGACTCCAAGTTAAAGCAGGAAAGCCCCACCACATCAAAGACCCCGATCTCTACCAAGTGTCCAGAAGGGCAACTCCTGGGTTGCTTTCTGCTGACAGAGCTGAGTGAACGAGGATGCGCACAATTTTCACTCACCCCAGGAACATTTCTTGAACAGCAAGGCTAGAAAGTTCGCCTATGAGGAGAAGAATAGCTTGCAGAAGGCTGCTGAGGTATCGCGGGCAGCAAGGCAGCCTGAACAGACTCGAGCATTCTGTTTCCGGGCAGCTGTCACTGCAAAGCCAAGCAAAGCCTGGCCCAGGGGCAGCTGGAAGGACCCATCACCCAGATCAAAGGCTTCCCTCCTGAGGCACTGCGTGCTGCGCAGAGAGCGAGTAGCTTGGTGTGGGGTCAGGGCTGAACCAGGCAGAGCTGAGGCCCAGCTGCGGTGGCAGAGACTAGCGAAGGGGCACACTGCTTGCCCAGCATGTGTGACGCTCTGGGCTCTATCCCCAGCACTGCCAAAAGCAAACAGACAAAGAACAGCAAGCAACTTTGCCTCTGTGTGTCTCGGCCTCTCATCTACGAAACAGAAACAGGAACACCTCACCTGGCCTTAAAGGGGGCCCGACAGGGCACTCGCGTGACGTGAAGCACTTACAGCTGTGACTGGCACTCAGCAGGGTCTTCTCGTCCAACGACTCCCTCCCTCTCACCACCGCCCTCCCTGGAAACCGCCACTCTCCTCTGCCAGCAGAAACCCCCACTCACTTCACGATTCCAAAGAAAAGCTGTCCGATCAAGTAGTCAGCCCTGAGGGTGGAGCATTATCATGGAATACAAGTTTAGCTCCTGGACCTGTCCTCAAACTGGGGAACCTCTGGGGTTTGCTCTACTTGGGAGCTGACAAGGGACCTGCTGTAGTTTGAACAGAAAACATACTGCCAGTTTGATGCTGGCAGAAAACATACATTTTTTTTTTTTTTTTTCTTTTTAGGTACATTGAGTTGAATCTTAGCTACATGCCCAGGACTTAAGATTTTATTTATTTAGTTTCTTTTTTTTTTCTTTTTTTAGACAGAGACTTGCTAAGTTGCCCAGGGTGGGCTCACACAGGTGATCTTCCTGCCTCAGCCTCCCAGAGTGCTGGGATTACAGATGTGTGTGACTATGCTGACAAGACACTGATTCTTTTTTTTTTTTTTGGTCTTTTTGAGACAGGGTCTCATCCATGCAGTTCAAGCTGGTCTTGAACTCACTTTGTAGCTCAGGTTGGCCTCAAACTCGCAATAATCCTCCTGCCTCAGTCTCCTGAGGGCTGGGGTTATAGGCGTGCGCCACCACACCCGGCAAGACACTGATTCTTGCATCTGAGACAAAGAACTTTCAACCACAACCATGCCTGAGTATCATTCAGCACGTGTGCTGGTTCAGGAGCCAATGCCATAGGTCCACACAGGCTAGAGGCTGAATCACAGCAGAGGAAACCACAGCCAGCGCGGCCTAAGCCCTTACACGAGTGGCTAGTCTGCCCGACTAACTAGAAGTCCTGCCCTGTGCCCTAGGGGAAACATTATCTCTGAGCTCAGTGCAAAGGCCTTGGATTCAGTCCCCAGAACTGCAAGAAAAGCTGGTAAACAAGTCCACTGCCCTGGAGGCAGACAGTGTCTCTACCCTCTAGGGAAGCTCACTCTACACACACTCCTGGAAAGACAGCAGAAACCAAGTCTGTCCTCTGCCCACAGATCGTGAGCAGGAGAGGCGCTGTGTCTCTGAGACACCTGAGAAAGTGGGGAGGCGCCTGCCAGTCTCTGGGCTGGAAGACTCCCTATAGCTAAGACCTGAACTGTTGACTCAACCAAAGCCCAATGAAAACTCGGATGGGAAAGTGTTTGGTAGAGAATGAAGAGTTAATTTTCAAATTCAAGTGGAAAGAGCAATGGCTTAGCAACAGTCAAAAGTTAACTTAGATAAAAATGAACAAATCTGGAGAGGTCATGCTACCTGAATTAAGATTTATTACAGAGCCATCAAGCCTCACTGTACACTATGGGACAGGCACAGTGATGTAAAACTAGATCAGCAGAATAGAACGGGCCCCAAACTAGCTGCCAGCTATCCTGTCAGCTGATGCTCAATGCAGGAGCAAAGATGGTTCACAAGAGAGGAGTCTCTAACCAGTGGTGCCGGTCAAACAAATAGCTTTATACTAAAGAAGCCAAAAGATACCTCTTACCACATACCAATGTCAAATCAAATAGATCCTGTACATAGATGTAAAATGAAAAACTATAAATCTGTCAGCGTTAGGTCCCTCACATTGTACCCCGCCCAACTTGAAGAGAAAAACTCCGACAGACAACCAGTCCGTTCAAACAGGAAGCCCCCTCACTCAAGTGGAGTGACTAAAGTAAATCTGTTTATCAGGATGGTTCCCAGGCCTGGTTCTCAGGCTTACAGGAAATCTCGTAAGTCTACAGAATGCAACGTTGTAAATCAGCAACATGCCGATGTCCTCCTGCACTTCCCTCCCCCAGAGGCACCAGACCAACCAATCACCCCTGAGAAACTTAAATTTTCCACCTTCCTTAGTGGAATTTCCCCCTCCCATACCTAAAATAGTCTATAAGATAGGCCCCTTTCCTTTGTTCGGGGCCAATGGCTTTCTCACCCTTGGCCCAGGCTGCACCCAGCCTGAAATAAAGATATCTCTGTTTGCTTCAATCCTGCCTGTCCTGCTGGTCTCGATCGCTCCTTGGGGTCTAGCCTGATAGTCAAGAGAAAAAAACACATAAGAAAACCTTTGAGACCTTGATTTGGGCAAGGATTCCTACACTAAAAACATGACTTGTACAAGAAAAAGTGACAAACTTTACCAAAAATCAAGATCTGCTTTTCTTTCTTTCTTTTTTTGGAGGCAGCATCTCACTATGTAGCCCAGGCTGCTCTCGAACTTACAGTGATCCTCCTGCCTCAGCCTCCTGAGTGCTAGGATCATAGATGTGCGCCACCATGTCTGGCACAAGATCTGCAAAATATGCTCTTAAGAAAATGATAGCCGGGCATGGTGGCTCACACCTGTAATCCTAGCACTTGGGAGGCTGAGACAGGAGGATTGCTGTGAGTTTGAGGCCAGCCTGGGCTAAGTGAGCTCAAGGCCAGTCTGAACTGCATAGCGACACCCTGTCTCAAAAAAAGAAAATGAAAGACAAGCCATAAAGTGGGAGAACATGTTTTTCCCATGCACCTGACGATGGATTCATATGTAGAGCACAACAAGAACCATGAGTACGCCACATCAAGAACTAACTCAATACTGCTGAAGTAGCAAGAGAACAACACTTCATCCAAGACAGGGAGGGCAAAGAAGCCCATGACAGATGCCCAGCACCATCAGTAGTAAGGAGACACAAACTGAACTATGGCGTGGTGCACCCCCCCTTCCTCGAAGGTCTAAGACCAAACAGAATGATCAGAGCAAGCGCTGACAAGGATATGCTGCGACCAGATTCTAATACACTTGAGCCCATCCCGTGCAGCTTAAGGAGATCCTGTCTCTAAGCAGAATAAAAGGAGTGCAGCGAAGTGGTAGAGCGCTTATCTCACATGTGCAAGGCCCTAGGCTCAATACACAGCACCACAGCAAACACAGCCCAGCTGCTCCACTCCTAGGTATTTACCCAAGACAAATGAAAACACAAGTTATATCCTGAGACCTGCACAAGAATGCTCGTGGCAGCTGTATCTGTGATCGCTTCATGGTAGACAACTCGAATGCCCAACCACGACAGCTGAATAAATATACATCAATTGTGCTCCATCCACACAGTGAAATACTACTTAGCAATAAGTAATAAAGTCTCCACACACACAACATGGGTGGCTATCAGAATAATTATGCTGAGTGAAAGAAGCTAGCCAACAAAGAATATCAACTATACAGTTTTATTTATTTAAAACTCCAAAAACTAAACTGCAGCACAGAAAGGAGGTAAGTGGCTCTCTGGAAAGCAGGAGGCAGAGGGCAAAAGGCAGGGCCAGAAAGGGGAAAATACCTCTCTGGGGTGATGGGTTTGCGCATTACCTTGACTCCACGTATGATTTACAGGTAGTTATTTATATCAAAATTTACCAAATGTTCATTTTTAAAAATATGCTGGAAGAAAAAAAATAAGCATTCCCCACAAGCAGAATTGAAGTTCAAAAAGAGATCTTATTATGAGAAAATAAAGAAAGTCAATGTGTTCACATACTTGAAGGAAAAGTACAACTACATGCATTAAATACAGTGTAAAATTATAGTGAAACTGGAACAAAACTGCAGGTAATAAGGGCAGAGGAAAAGGAGTCATAAAGATAGATTTTTATTTTCAAGACTCACTTGTGGTACTGGGGATTGAACCCAGGCCTCACTCATACTTAGGCAAGTGTTCTACCACAGACCCAGACCCTTGGCCCCAAAGAAGATTTACCTACACACACACACACACACACACACACACACACACACACAGATATAAAACATCAGCACTATAATAGCATTCTGCTTTCACCCAAATTCTTCAACAATGGGACTCCTTCCACATACAGCACTGCTGGTTCAAGAATATGCAGGCTGATGCTGATTTATGAGATAATCCTTTTCCCATTACAGCTCACGAGCAATCATAACTAAGTTGAAAGCAATACTTGAGAATTATAATCAGAGATTACTTAGCATACCAATGATTTTCTAGAGTTTGAAGTCATTTTTAAATAACTAGCATGTAACATCTATCTCGCTATGCCCCCACCCTTTGTGCTGGGGATTAAACTCAGGGCCCTTGCACATGGCTACATATCTATCCCTTTTAATTTTGAGACAAGTTCTGGCTAAATTTCCCAGGCTGGCCTCAAACTTGCAATCGTCCTGCCTCAGCCTCCCAAGTAGCTAGGATTACAGCTACCACCACGTGCCACAATGCCCAGCAGAAATAACATCTTGAGATGATCACACCTGATTTTTAATGCACTGACACCTCCTCCTGCTGCAGAGGTACAGCACACAATGGTGCAAGGAGTGTGCAGATATCAGCACTTACCACTCAAAAGCCACCACAGCAAAGGGATGAATCCAGGGCTCTCACTGATGTATTTTAAGCCTTTCAAATTGATGCTCACATTGTACAGGGACATCAGCATTAACCTGAAATGCAAAAGGAAATGGTGTTGATGTGCTGGTCCTTCTTAACTCCATCTCCTCCTCCAAAAGACCTGAAGGCTTCTAGAGGTTTACTCCTATCTCAGATGTCCAGAAGGATAGGTCATACAGTGAGTGGAGGCTACGTGCAGTGATCATTCACGAGGCCAAGGGAGTATGGGAAACTTTAGCAAGGGCACCGTGATGCCCCCTTTCAAGGACTCACATAATACAGTCATGCAGGCAGAGAAGGTCCCAGGGAAACCTCACACTCTATAGTTCACAATTGCTCACACCTCCTTTAATATCAGGCCTAAAAAATACAAGAGGACCTCAGCTCATAAGTGTACAGTACTCTCACAGTTCAATGCATCCATCTACCATCTAATAGTACCTTTTTATTCAATGAGTGTGACACATGACATTAGGCAGCAAGGTCAGGCCATACAAAGCTACTTGATCCACAGCATGAGGGATATGGACTATCATAACCCTCACCACCCCAAACAGCCAACAAAGTGGTCTCCTTAGTGTTGGAGACCACTGCGAAGCAGCTCTGAGCAGGATTTAATATTAACCAATTGGCTTTTCATGTTTACGTGTGAGGTTGCCCGAGGCCTAGGCCCTTGTCTGGAGATGGGTAGCTGACTCACAGTAAGCAAACCTCTATGAATCACTGGTCCCTGCTGAGGCCTGTACTGGCCTGTGAAGTTGGGATGCCTCAAAGGACAAGATAAGGCCACAGCTGAGGACATTTGACTCTAACCCCAATTAACTAAAAGGAGACTGTAGCTGCAGACTTCTCACTCCTGCAGTGAAGGCCTTCTTGGAGATAACATAGTTCTCCTAAATTAACATAACCTATTACAGGGGCTGGGGATCTAGCTCAGCAGCACAGCACCTGCCTGGCAACCACAACGTCATGAGTTCGATTTCTGGTACTGGAAAAAAAAACCAAAAACAAAACAAAAAAAAGTGAACATAACGTATTACTTGGAGAAGTCCTTAGAGGGATTCCCAAGTCCTGCCCAGATTCTTGCATTTTCTTCAGTATTCCCTCCTTTGCTTAAAAACCTAATAAATACGGGCCACCCAGAGAAGTTCTCTGTCTTAACTCAGAGAATCCAGAATTCTGTGAGAGGGTTTGGATCCCCCTGGAGCCCTGAAAACATTTCACTTGTCTTGTTTATTTAAGTCTTTGCTGTCCACTCGTTTGGGAGATTGTAGGCCTGATCACTCCACAATAACTAGGGGATAATACTAATGTGATACCTTAGCAACTCAGGATTGTACACACTGTCTCAGGAACTGAATCACAATTGGAAACACCGAATCCAATGGAAGTTAGAAACCACAAGACTTTAGCTTCTGAAAATGCTGCAGAATACAAAGACCCCAGACCCCTCACATTGCAAAGCAACAAAAAAGGGTAGACAAGTATTTTGTAAAAGCTTCAAAATAACCAACAGGTTTACAAGAAATGAAGGGAAACATCTCTGATCAAGAACAATGTGGGAAGTCAATACAAAATAGATCTCAGAAGCCTGGAAATTTAGTCATCAAGGCTTCATGCAGCGGGAGAGAAAGGAAAGCTTGAGAAAAACAGACAGGCATTCAGATCACAGGCCGTGCAGAGAACCAGCAAAGAGTCAGTGTTAAAGCATAGCACAAACGCACTGTTGGTGGGCCTGGAAACCTGTACACTGTAATAGACTGCAGCTCTGGTATGGTGCTTCCCCAGCCTCCTGGACACTACAGGACAGGCTCCTCCTCTACCTGGTCTTCAGAGTCCTCATCAACACAGCAGTAACAGAAGTGAGTTCATAATGCACATCCAAGAAAACTCACAAAATGTGCCAGATTGTACAAGTAACAGCCAGCATGAGGAACCACTGACAGAGCCAGAACCCAAAGTTCTCAGGTGTTAGAAGCAGCAGCTATAGAACAGAAGAAACAGGTATGTTTATTAAGTGAAAATACATTTAAAATAAATTAAAGCGCTGGGCATGGTGGCACATGCCTGTAATCCCAGAACTTGGGAGGCTGAAGCAGGAGGATCATTGCAAGTTCGAGACCAGCCTGGGCTACAAAGTGGGCTCAAGGTCAGCCTGAACTGCATAGAGAGACCCTGCCTCAAAAAGACAAAAATAAAATAAAATAAAATAAAATAAATTAAAGCATGATCAAAAAGGTAGGGCTATCATTATGAATAACCAGGCAATTAAAAACTAATGGAACTTACAAAAATGGAAACTGCAATAAGCTAAAATGCAAGGTAACTGAACACATGGGAAAGGAGAAATACTAAAGAGCAAACAGAGCAAAGAAAGAACAATGGATGAGAAAGTCTACAGCGAGAAAGTTCAACATGCATCCAATTGGGGCTCCACAAAGAAAAAGCAGAAAGAACGGTGGAGGAAAAAGTTTTAAAATCATCATGGCTGAGGCTTTTCCAGAAATGAGGAAACAAAACCCCTCATAACTCAGAAATCATGGTAAGATCTCAAGAAACACAAAAATACAAATCTATACACACGGCACTCTAACTCGACATCAAAGATAGAGGGTTTTAGAAGCAACCTGAGAAAAAGGGGCAGTGGTGGGCCACTGGGAGCTGGGCTCTCAGGAACACGGGTGAGGCTGGAAGGTGGGGAAAGCACACTTTCAAGAAGAAGAGAAAGTAACAGCAGATTCAGAGTGGTAAATCCACCAAAATTATTTCCAGCAAATGAGGTAGCGTAAAAATATTGTCAAAGAAAACCTCAGGTTTTACCACAAACAAACCTAAACTTACAGAGTTTAAAGGACAGACATTGAAACCAGCGAATGGATCTCAGAAGAATGTTGTGAGCTACCAGGAAAAGTAACAAGTAAAGGTGATGTGGGTAGAGGGAAACAAACACTGCGCTCTAATATACAGGGACCTTGTGGTTCCAGCAAGGCGAGGAGCACTCAACAAATGCACAAGGCCCAAGACACAGGTATAAGGGCATTTTGTAGCCCTTCTTTGGGCCAAGAGACTAGAAAAGCATTGATTACTTTCAAGTACATATCAATATACCAACACATACTTTAAGTGGGGGCCACTCACTGAGAGACAGAAACAGAGGCAAACCTGTCTACAGCCATACCACCCTGAAAGCGCCTGGTCTTGTGTGATTTCAGAAGCTAAGCAGGGGCAGGCCTGGTTAGTAGCTACATGGAAGAAATAGAGGCAAACTTTCAAGACCCTAAGAAAGTCAATAAACCCAGAAAGGTCTCTGTGAATTTAAGAGGAGAAAGGTAGGAAAGGAAGAAAGGTGTGAGGGGTCAGAAAAGGAACTCAGGGCTGGGGAAATAGCTCAGTAGCACAGCACCTGCCCGGCAAGTGCAAGGTCATAAGTTTAATTCCTGGTATCAAAAAAACAAACTCAAAAATTATAATAGAAATAAAACATGATGGAAGAAGTAAATCCAAATATTTCACAACTGCATATATTAATGGAAGAAAATTCCCAGTAAAAGCCACAAATGACTGTTAGACTGAATGAAAAACAAAACCTAAATATCTTTTAAAAACCACACCATGAAGCTGGGCATGGTGGCTCATGCCTATAATCCCAGCATTCAGGAGGCTCAGGCAGGAGGGTTGTTGTGAGTTCAAGGCCAGCCTTGGCTACAAAGTGAGCTCAAGGCCAGCCCCTGAACTGCATAGCAATAGATACCATGTCTCAAAACAAACAAAAAGCCACACCTAACACAAGGTGACACAAATGGTGATGTGAGCACTAGCACAGACATACCAAGCAAATACTAACAGAAACAGAAGACAGAGGAGAAGACTGAGGCAGCTGTACGAATAGAAAAGAAACAGCCTTAAGGAAGACACATTTATACAGACAAAGAAGGTAAGTATATGACATTAAAGGTCTAGTTCATTAGGAAGATTATCACTCTAAATTTGCAAGCATCTAATAATACTATATATCTTCAAAATTGTATAAAAGTACAAATGAACAGAGCTACAAAGTGATGAGTCCACAGCTGTTATGGTTTGTGTCTGGATGTCTTCCCAAGGCCTCATACAGTCATGGGGCAGGTTTCTAGAGTTTGTGATTGATTCATGGTCCAATGCTGGGATTATGGGTGTGAGTGCTACACCCACCCTATGATGGGTAGCCTGCATACAATATAAGGGAGGGAAAGAGGCTTGCTTTCTGCTGCTGCTCCTCCCTGTTTGCTCTTGCTGCCTTTCCTGTTTTCCATTGCCATGAACTGTTGCCCTCTGCCATGTGCCACTCTGTCTTGGAGCCAGCCAAGTATGGACTGAAACCTCCATGAACTGTACGCTGAATAAACCTTTCCTTCCTTAATTTTGGGCACTAGGTATTTTGTCTCAGCAACAAGAGAAAAGTAACCAAGACAAAAATAAAGGAAGAATTTAAGACACTGCTTTTAGTACTTCAAACATTAAGTACATGGTCTGATCCATCATGCAATTAAGTAAAAAAAAATTTTAAAATAAATTTTAAGCCAGGAGTGGTGGCACATGCCTGTAATCCCAGCACTCAGGAGGCTGAGGCAGGATTGTTGTGAGTTCAAGACCAGCCTGGGCTACAAAGTGAGCTCAAGGCCAGCCTAAACTCCATAGTGAGACCCTGTCTCAAAAAAATAAAATAAAATAAAAAAATAAATTTTAAAACTTCAACAACATTTGGAAAATTAAAAGTACACCTCTATAAAAACAGGCCAAATAAGAAATTATAGCCAGGTGTGGTGGCGGACGACTGTAGTCCCAGCACTCTGAGAGCCTGAGGGAGAAGGGTGGCAAGTTGAAGCACAGCTAACAATGTCCCATCAGAAAATAAAAAGGGGTGGGCATGCAGTTCAGGGAGAAGGCCCTGGGTTTAACCTCAGCAACCAAATTTAAAAAAAAGGGCTGGTGGATCCCAAGCTCAAGGCCAGCCTGGAGCAAGATCCTGACTCAAAATAAAACATACACAGGGGCTATGGGTTTATCTTCATGC